GGAACTCGAAGAGCACGAAGTGTGTGACTGTTGCATCCGGTTATTCTAAATGTGGCCCGGGAATGGCGTTCTGGGATCTCGAAGAGCACGAAGTGTGTGACTGTTGCATCCGGGTATTGAGAATGTGGCCTGGGAATGGAGTTCTGGGAAGTCGAAGAGCACGAAGTGTGTGACTGTTGGTGAAAAACGAGCCCGGCACCTGCCGCCCGGCAACTCCCAACACCTGCCCGGACCCCCCTGTGGAGTGATCTGCTGCTCTCTTTTGATCCCACTAGAAACCTATCAGTCTTCGCTGTTAGGTAAAAATGTGGACTTGAAACAGGTGGAAGTCCCAGTGGCGTCCCACTGCGGGCGATTCGCCAGCGTGGCAATGCGAGGCGCCGCGGCTCTTATTCTGACACCGGGACGGGCCGACAAAGAAACGCGGGCGAGGCAATGGGCAAACACGGGCAGCGAGGAGCCGAGGAGCGAGAAGGGGAGGGGGAGAGGGAGGGAGGACGACAGGAAAGGACAGACCGGGCCGACAGACGGACGGGCGGGGGGACAGGGAGGGGGAGCCAAGCAGAACGGAGAGGGAGATCACACACCGCGCGAGGGCAGGGAAACACAGGGGCAAGTGGGGACACGGAGAGGGAAGCAGATGGAGCCGGGGGGCCAAGGCCAGTGCATTGCACCACATAGACTGCACCACAAACAGGGTGCACCACGTAGAGTGCACATCATAGCTTGCACATCTCAGGTTGCACAACATATATTTCGCAACCAAGACTGTGACACATAGACTGCGCCACCTGTATCTGTCAACATAGATTGCACCACACAGATTGTCCCACATAGATTGCACCACGATTATAGCACGACATACATTGCACAACATGTATGGCTACAAACATTGACTGGACGCCACGCTGGCTAACATATACATAGAGAGAGATAGAGCTATACAAATTTATAGATGTAGATATAGATCGGAATGAAAGCGTTATATACATACACACGCATATATATAGAGAGAGACAGATGATGCCCACGACCTATTCTAAATCGTTCCAGGTAATATCGTCTGTCGAGTCTGACATATACGCGATTCCGATCCCAATGGAGAAAAACTGCACCGCTACCACGTGAAAGTCGCAAATGCAATGAACTACAATTACGTCGCATCCCCACACAAAGTAAGCACTGTCTACGATGGCTTGCGTGACGCCAGGTGAAGTGACGAAGATTTAAAGGACTGATGTTGATTTGCGTTTGCCTTGCGCCACGTGCATTTATGATAGACGCCTAGTGCTGAAAGAAAAAAGAAATATGAGACCTAACATTTCTGAAGACCATCACACCTCGATCCTTTCCTCCATTAATGTCTTCCTTATCTCCATCCCTCCCGGCCCTCAGCTTTCTCTTCCTTCCTCCTCCATCCCCCTTCTCCGCCGAGCACTCCTCTTGCCATCCCTCTCCAGTGTACTTCCGAGATCGAACGGGAGGAGGGTGCAGACAGGTTGGAATCAGCAGACAAGGAATCCAATTTGCCGTGGCCGGTCGGTGGCTGAGAACGGGGCGGTGGTAGGCGGTAACTGTCGCCGTTGCGAGGTTATGAACGCGCCAAAGGCAGCAACGAGGCCACCACCAAAGCTCCACCACAGCGGTACTCAGCCTTAACCGTTTACGACCAGCCCTGGCCTGTACATTGCATCCCTGTCAACTCCCTCCCAGAAAATACCCCTTCCTTGCCAATGCGTCTTGGGTGGAAGCTGCTTGTCCCTGTGGATCTCACGCTGGGAGATACCAGGGAGGGTCGCGTACCCCTTACGTTGGAGACGGCGGGCTGCCTTGCAGGCATGCCGAGGAGAGTCGAAGACTCTGAGGCTGAATCTCCTGCCAAAAACGCTGTCCTTCTTGCCTACCAGGGCAGTCGGCGTCTCAACATCGTCGTTCGCCAAGAAGACTAGGTTGTACTTGATGCCCTCGGCAGTTGAAGTGGGGCGAGGCGCGAAGCGGCTGAGGAGGTAGGCGGAGAAGAGCGAAACGCGAGCGAAACTGGGCGGTGTGAAGCGAAAGGGATGATGAAACAAAGGCGATCTAGCTAGATCGTGGACGCACTGACCCGGGTCAGTAGAGCTTTGCATGATCCTGCAGCATCCTGCATGATCCTGCGGTATCCTGCACACAAGCCCGGATCGTGCACCCCTGGCTTTGCAGGATCCTGCAAGATCAGGCGCTCTGGCCGACCCCGTTTGCATGAACCCCCGTCCCAAGGCTCCCGACTAGAGCGGAACAAATGTCTGCGGGCGGGGCGACAGCGAACCAATCCTGCCGCAACGCCACTCCGCGACGCCCGGGAGCACCATCTTCCGAGGCGGAGCCAGAATTAGAAGGCATAATGGAGCTGTGGGGGAGAGCAAGAAGACCGATGCTAGTCCAGGGAAAATGAAATTGCAACGAAAACTGAAGAGTCAAAGAGGAATGCCACGTATCACTGGCGGGCAACCTACATTTCAATAATCACAGCCACCAGGATGACGCACTGTGCGTCCCTAGTTCTGGTCGGCTTCGATTACAGCTCGCTTCTAAATCTGCCCGGCCCCCGTGAGAGATGTATGATTGGAGGTTATTGGGATGAGGGGGTCCATGGTATCGCCTCCAAGAGCCGCCCCATGGCGGATGAAAGCTCCCCCTTGCTTGCAAGACGCATGTCGGCGATATTTGGCTAGTGCAGACCAGAGCAACGTATCAATGTCTAACGGGCAAGGATCACACCACACCGAATAGCCATCACCCTGTCAAATACTGGATACTGGTGCAGACTCAATTATAAAGTTGCATGCTGTACTCTTGCACGTGCTGTTTAGAGGCCCCGAAAACGCTACCAAAAACCGCTGGGTTGTGAAAAACGTTTCAAGGGTAAGGGGTGCAGAGCTCCAGAAATCCACGAATGAACGAAAACGAAACATCTGAAGTCAGCGCAGTGGGTCTGCACCGTGCGACATCTACTTGGCAGCCTCTGGAGGTGTGAGGCCGCCCTGGACGCTAGCGTTGACCTGCGTGGGCCGGCTAATCCGTTTCGGCAGTCTTCCGCCGAGCTTCCGCCACTCTCCACTGGCCACCCCGCCCTCGCTTTACTTCCGCCAGCTTTCGCGAGCATCTGAATTTCTCCACTTCTCGAGGCGTCGAACACGAAACCCTCCTTGGAACAACCTCGGGGCTGTTCACGCCTGAATGTCGGGCCCTTGAGCATAGATCCCCCAAAAGGAGTAAGAACCGGCGACTGTAAGATCGAGTCCGCGAAGGAGAAGATCGAGCTGGAGAAGGGTGAGCCTTTTCTCACGCCCGAAGACATGCAACGCATCCGCAGGTCGCAGGATCACCTGCGCGTGATGCCCGCGGAGAGGAGCAGGTGCAAGGGCATGCGCACGGAGCTCAGGACCTGGGCCCCCTCTGCACGACTTCCCTCTGCATGCCAATTGCTGCAGCTGTTGTCCCTGCGAGGTTCTCGTGGCCCTTTTGCCTTTTGGTCGGTCCCTTCCGCTCGTGTCCTTCTGGCCCTCGCCTCGCTCGCTTTCGGGCCCTCGTTCGGTTGCCCCTCGTCGCTTTTGCGGCTTGCTTTCAAGGGAGCCTCGGCTTGACGCGAACCCACGTCCAAGCAAATGTTAGCCAGCGTGCACCCCAAACAGTAACTTCTTACACTCTGGATGTGCATGCTTTGTGGTGCAACCATGCGGCGCAAGCCGTTTTGTAGCAGGCTATGCGGTGCAAGCTATGTGGTGCAAACTACGTGGACTAAGTTATGAAGTGCAATATACGTGGTGCAAGCTATGTGGTGCAAGCAAGGTGTTGCAATCTGTGTAGTCCAAGTTATGCGGTGCCAGCCCGAACCTGAGCCAGGAGGAGGGGCGATGTAAGGAACCGAACTTTATACACCCATGCTTTTTTCCGGTCCCGCACTGAGATTCGCACGAGAAAACGGATTCTGGTGGATACAGCATCCTGGTGTATACATGTTTCGTTGCTTCCACGGGAAAACAGGGAAAAACACGTATGCGCCACACCACCCCGACGTCGTCCCCGACCCTCAAAAAAGTCCTGGGATTGAAAATCCGCCCGCCACTGGCAGTGTGTATGCTCCACTTTCCGTCGATGTGCACAGATCCGTGGCAAATGGACCCAGGAGTCCTCCCGCGCAGCCCCCCCCCCTGCCCTCGGCGCCTGCCTGCCCCGCGCCCGACAAAACCCCCTCCGCGGCCCCGGTGGGGCCGGCACCGCTGGCAGCACCACCGGACGCGGCTCCGCCGCGTGCGCCGCAGGATTTCGTGGAGTCATCACGTCGGGGGCGGCCAAGAGGGGGGCGTCCAAGAGGGGGGGCGCAAATCATGGCTGGCGGCACGTGCGCGGCCTAGGGGGGGGGCCCAGGAACGCAATGAAAGAAGAAGAGGCGCCGTGAAATCTGCGGAAATATCATGGCCCCCGCCATAATTTGCACCCCCCCCCTAATCATCACCCGCCTCTTTGCCGCCCCCTATCACGGAGTCACGCCAGGCGAGACGCCGGACCGCCTTGGCCTCAGACCGCTCGTCGTCGTCGTCGTCGTCGTCGTCGTCGTCGTCGTCGTCGTCGTCGTCGTCGTCCTCGTCGTCGTCGTCGTCGTCGTCGTCGTCGTCGTCGTCGTCGTCGTCGTCGTCGTCGTCGTCGTCGTCGTCGTCGTCGTCGTCGTCGTCGTCGTCGTCACGACCCACCTGCCCGAAAGCAATCGGAGTAACGGGACCCGACCGCTAGCCGCATCGCCCTCCTTTACGATGCACGAACGGTGTGCGCACGGACAACATGTGTGGCGCACAAGCACATGGCGGCCCCCGAACACTAGTGACGCTTACGAGCAGCGTCCACTAGCCTTAGATCACCCGACTTCTCTGCATCCCCGTCCGTGCCACCTGCAACCACCCGCTCCATCCGCCCTCCTCGCACAAACTGTATGATTCTGCTCCCCTGCCCATCCTCCACAGCGCCTACTTGTTTCTCAGCGTGTACTCTGGGACCACCGCCGAAGGATCTGACAGGTTGAAAACGATGATCGCCACAGAGACCAGAGCGCCCAGAACGAGAATCCTGGGATGAGGCCGCAGCTGGGAGCAAAGATGGGACGCCCGAGCGATGTGGGGGTGCAGAGGGGCACCGAGGAAGAAGGGGCCTGAGGAATCCTCAGCATTGACAAGCAAGGAGCGGGAGACCAGAGAATGAAATCAGTGCGATCGGAATGCTCGAATACGCGAAGGATGATAAGAAAGCCGGCGAGAAGAGGAGAACGCGGAAGAGAGAGGAGAGGAGATAGGAGATGAGAAAAGAAAGCGGAGGCGAGAGGAGGGAAGGCGAGGGGAGGGAAGGAAAGGTCGAGGTGCAGGGGAGGCGAGGAGGGGAAGAGGAAGGGACAGTAGAGGATAGGTGCCGACCAAGGAAGGCGAGCACAAAGAGGAGAGGGCTGGAGAAGAGAGGCGAGGATGGCAGAAGGGAGGAGCAGGGAGAAAAGAGGGGAACCTGGCTGCTGAGGACGAGGGGGAGAGGAGAAGAGAGGAGAGGTGAGCAGAACGTGAGAGCTGTGAGAGGGGCCTGCACGGCGTGCCGCCAGTGGGTGGGTGGCGCGCGTCCGCGCGTCGACACACCGCGCGGCGGCGGAGACGCTGGGGGGGGGAAGGGGCGGAGCTGCCCCGCAACCGCCAGCAGGTGGGCGGCGGCAGCGTCGGGGCGACGGTCCGGGTCGTCAGCGGGGAGGAGCGGGGTGGTCGCTGGGCTGCGGTCCGCGCTCCGCGGGAGGCGGCACACACACACACACACACACACACACACACACACACACACACACACGCGCACGCGCACGCACGCACGCACGCACGCACGCACGCACGCACGCACGCACGCACGCACGCACGCACGCACGCACGCACGCACACACGCACGCACGCACGCACGCACGCACGCACGCACGCACACGCACACACACACACACACACACACACACACACACACACGCACGCGCGCGCGCGCACACACACACACACACACAAACAAACAAACTGTCCGTGCGAGTGCCACGAGAGGCCTGATCGTCCTCTGACCAGGTCCAGCTCCGTGGCAGCTCGGGGAGTAAAGACCCGCGAGCAGCGTGGCACTGGACGCGGTGGCCGCGCTGCTGGGGGGCGGGACGGCCGCGCCACCGTGGGCCGCGCCGTGAATGAAGGAGCCCTGGGACACAGAAAGAAATGCACGCAAATAAACAGAGTCCCCATATTTTCCCATATTTTCTGGGTTTTTGTTTTCCCGCCCAATTCCCATAGTTTCCCAGATTTTCTGGGAATCGACGAATAATTGTGTCTGTGTTTTTTTCCCTCCTGAGTGAAGACGGGACGAGCGAGGTGAACGTCGAGCCGTTGCAGCCGTGACCTCTTAGGGAGAGCACGAAATCGACTGAAACGGGGTCCTGCACACGGCCCATGCAGGCCGTGACCGTGCCGTTGCAGCCGTGACCTCTTAGGGAGAGCACGAAATCGACTGAAACGGAGTCCTGCACACGGCCCATGCAGGCCGTGACCGTCCTCGGCCGAGGCGAGGCTCCACGGGCCGAGGGAACGACGGCTCTGTTCTGACGGCAGATCACTTCGGTGGCACCGCACTGGTGGACGGCCCCGTCCACTTGCGAGGGCCGGGCCTTGCCCGCACGCCTGAGCGCAGGGGTCGGCATCGCCATGCCTGGGTGATCGGTGCCGTGTGGACCGAGGACGACGATGGCCAGCGGTTCGCCCTGGCGGCGAAAATTGGTGAGGAGGCGTTCTCCTTCCTGAACTCGAGTGCAGTGCCCTTTGGGGACTGTGCGGGTAGAGCGACGACAGGCACTGACTGGTGTACTGGGTCGAGGCTCAGGAGGAGAAGGCCTGCCCCCGCGGGGCTAGCAATACACGTGTGGAGGGAATGTTCGCCGTGTTCCGATGCATGCTTTCCTTGCTGCTGCATGCACCACGCCGCTCACGCAAGCGGGACGAGACGTCCTGGAACGCTCGATCGGACCTTCGACCTGTGACCCCAAACCGACGGCGCGGAACAGGCCAACCACCAGGCGTCGCGGGCGAGGCCTGGCACCTGCAGCTGAGAAACAACTGCCGTGCTGGGAGGAAGGAGCTGGGAAGATACAGGGCACGACTGTGTCATAAGCCTGTTCAACGTTTTTGTTCGCGAGCGACGCAGGCAGCTGCGCGCCGTCAAAGAAGTCGTGAAGCGGAAAAATGGCTGGGCCACTACGCGGACAGCGCAAGTGGGGCGAAGACAGAAAGAGGCGAAAGAGAAACGAGGACGAGAAGGGCGAAGCCTGTTCAACGTACGCGATAATACGGATGATCTGATCATTTCTCCCAACCCCATCCCCCCAACCCGATGAGTGTCTTTCTGGGCGGTGCCACAGGCGCCGCCCAGGGGGCCCAGAGATGGCGTGCCAGGAGGCGGGCCTGCCCGGAGCCGGGCAAGGCCGCCGGCCAACGTGCCAGCCGAGGATGCAGGCGCAGAGCAGGGCAGCAGAGCGGGGCGAACAAAGTTGAGAGCAAACGCTGGCATGCGAAGAGAGGGCGCCCATCGCAGGCAACCCCTTCTCAACCTCCCCCCCCCCCACACCTTCCACTCCCCAGGGGCACATCCTCCCTAAGGCGAGGCCAGGACGAGGATAACTTCGGACGTGGGCAAATCGAGAACCGCTGAGATCCCGCGGCTCTGGAGGATGTCTCGGGTGCCGCGGCCTTCTCAGAGCGTTCCAGAGAGAACCCGCCCAGGTGGAGCCGACCCGCCTGGCACCATGGCTCGGCCGAGAACGCAAGTGCAGCACAGGGCCACAGGCGGACGCACAGCGCTTCTTTTCTTCCCAGAGGCTCGCCGGCGTGGACCTCAAAGAGAGTGCTGTGGGTACTCGATGCGGCGCCATCTGTGTGGTGCAGTCTGTGTGGTGCAGTCAATGCGGTGCGCAGGAGGAGAAGGAGAAGGAGGAGGAGGAGGAGGAGGAGGAGGAGGAGGACGAGGGGAAGGAGGAGGAGGGGGAGGGAGGAGGAGGAGGAGGAGGAGGAGGAGGAGGAGGAGGAGGAGGAGGAGGAGGAGGGAGGAGGAGGAGGAGGAGGAGGAGGAGGAGGAGGAGGAGGAGGGGAGGAGGAGGAGGAGAGGAGGAGGAGGAGGAGCAGGAGGAGGGGGAGGAGGAGGAGGAGGAGGAGGAGGAGGAGGAGGAGGAGGAGGAGGAGGAGGAGGAAGGAGGAGGAGGGAGGAGGAGGGAAGGAGGAGGAGGAGGAGGAGGAGGAGGAGGAGGAGGAGGCGGAGCGTCCTCTGGAATGTCTGAACTCCTTACCTAGCCACCCTACGGGCCCTTCGGGCCGAATTGCCTCCAGAAGGGAGGTCCACAGCTTGACGCGCAGCCCTGGCGATCGAACGGGCGACCGCGGCAGGAACCGCTCCGCTGGTGCCCTCACGCTTCTCAAGATGGAGAAGACGGTGCAAGTGGAACATCAACGCCACTCCTCGAGTCGAATCCAGCGTGGGGACGACGAGGGCAAGGGCAGAGAGCGGGTCGCTGGGCAACGGACGACCTAGGGCCACCCGCACCAGCTCACGAAAGTGTTGACACCAGAAATAGTGCTTCAGGCTATCTGGGGCATCACAACCCAGACAGCACCTACGGTCCCGGTTCTGGAGACGGGTGTCAGTGACCCATCCCCCGAGCCAAGTCTTGATGCACGCGCACCTCCAATTCGGGGGCGCACGCATCAGTACCTGCTCCACGTCGTGCCACGCTACAGCCGCAGCCTCCAGGGGGGGCACTCCGAACCATTTGGGGAGCCTCTCCGAAATTAGGCCCCTCAGATCCCCATCCATGGAGGCCCGCAGGCCCACTAAAAGTTCACGCTGAAGACGCCTCCTCCGCCCGTCCACCCACCGCCCCGCCCCGCCTTGGCTAGAGGAAAGGAGAGGTGGAGCGCCGCTCTTTTCGAGCAGCTCGCGCCCCGCCACCTCCGCACGCGCCAGCGTGACGGCGGGGGCGGGCGACTCCCACCAGGATGGCCAGGGCTGGCCTGTCGTGCACCGCACCAGCGGCAGCCTGCGCGAGGCCACCTCACTCAGATGCGCAGCAGCCCTCCGCCAGGTCTCGAGCGTCGAGAGGGCCGAGCGCATGAGGGACGCCGCCAGGAGGTCAGACGTTGGCACACATCTTGGGCCCCCCAGCGTCTCGAGGTCGAAGAAAGTGTTCTTCTTGAACAGGCTTCCCGAGCATCTGGCCAGCCGGCACAGCAGGAAGCGCTCGTCATCAATCAGCTCGGACGGCATCGGCCAGAGCTGCGCCTTGTAGGCCAGGACGGGCTGGCACCGTCGACTGTACTCAAAGAAGACAGCCGTCATGTCCAGTGGCGAGGCCGCGAGCGCCAGGACCCTCTCGCGCATGCGCGCAAGCGGCGCAGCCCACTGGGCCGCAAGCGATGCACCAGGGCCCACAAGGCACCCCAGCAGCTCCACCGCCGAGGCCACGGTGAAGGATCCCCACCCGCAGGCCTCCTCCAGACACTTCCTCATCGCGTCCTCCACCTCCGCCGAGAACGGGGCCCAGAGCGGGACGGCCGCGCACTTCTTGGGCTGGAGCTGGAGGCCAGCGAGGCGCTCTGCGAGGCGGAAGATCCTCGCCAGGGTGCGGAGCCCCCGCCTGCAGTAGATCAGGGCCTGGATGTCATCAGCACACCAGCGGGTCATGCCAAGAGCCTTGGCCTCCAGCTGCTGCAAGTGCGCCTCCACGAACGGCTGCGCGCCGATCACGAACATCGTCCCGGAGAGCGGGTCCCCTTGCAAGATCCCGCACAGCATGACAAAGAGGACCCAGTGGCAGGGCCCCGCCCCCACGACCTCAACGTTGGCGTAGGACTCCTTCAGCAGGTGCTCCAGGCCGAGCGGCACCGCCCACGCCTCCAGAACCCACCACATCCAGTCGTGGAGGAGCGACGGGAAGGCGTGGGCGAAGTCGAAGCTCAGGAGGGTCGGCTCCTCCCAGCCACGAGCCTTCTCCAGCGCGCACATGGAGGCGACGCGGGACATCGCGTCCA